TATGTTCTTTCATAACACATATTTCCTGTATGATTGAATTTCAGCTTGAGGACTGTTTTCAAGATTATGATCCGCTAAGGAAAGGACACGTGTCATCCAATGATTTCAAGGAAGCTTTCAGTAAGTCATTTGGAAGACTTCTCACCGAAGAGGAGGTAGAAGAGATACAGAGCCGATATCGCATGGTTGATAATATGGATTGCTACGACTGGCCAAAATTTCTTCATGATGCTGAAAAAGGTGAGGAACGCGGTTGTCTCGCACCGGTAGAACTAAGTATAAAATCATACGTAAGCCATAGATTTAAGAATGGTATGATCTCTCCTAATCTTGACCTGAGATAGTGCAAAAAGAGCAGGCAATGTGATTTTTTATCACAAATTCTAGAAAAATAATCGCTTTCCAATGGTTCTTTTAAAAGCCCTGAGTTCACACTTGAAACAATTTTCAAGGGTACGTGGAGAAATGCTCCTTTTCCTTTATAATGAACCTTTGTGACTGATTTCAGAAAAAAGAGATCTAATTCTTAAGATTCGAAGGATAGAAACGTGGAAATGGCGTATTGCATTCTCTCTCCTATTTGCACACTCACCACTGACCATTCAGGAATATGATATCTCGGTGGGTGTAGTTAAAAATGAAACATCTTAAATGCGGGAAAAGAGGGCACACAGAGTGTCGTTGGTCAACCCAGTAAAACTATTCTTAAGTGCGTTATCTCTTCCATTGCCAGTTGTTTCATTACCAGTTGTGTCGCGTTACGACACTGAAATTTTGTTACACTTTCTTTAGATTCAAATCAAACCTCTGCCGAACCTAATCACAAACCCACACGGCGTCAGAAGGAAGCTGTACTGAAGAACGTTATCGCTCAGCTGATGAAAAGCAAACAGGATATTTCAGATTTACTGGATAGGACCCCTCTTCAAGATTCCAACGGGTATTTCATGTTTTTGCTTTTCATTTACTTTAAGTGGTAGAGAAAAAGAAAAGACAAAATAAAGAGAAGGCTCACCCAACCGATGATAAAAGGCGTTTAATTCTTCAACAGAACAGCTCGAGATACTTGTTTACCACAATAGCATTTTACGCTCAAGCTTAGCTCTGTAGGTGCGTTCAATTTCCAAAGTCTCCTTTTGCTATACTGGTACTTTTGAATTCAAAGGTGCCAGAGTTAGCTGTGATTCATGAAAAGTAAACCCCAGGCCCCGGTTGTTCAAACGTCGGACAACACTGCCGACTGGATAAATCTCTTTCTAGGCCCAGTTGTTCGAAGGCCGACTATCGCTAACCCAGGGTTATACTTTAATCCAGGTTTCAACATCTCTGTTCAAAAGGCGTTTTGGGATAATTTTCCCTATTCTTTTTAGAGCATTCAAACATCAAATTGTAGACAAATGGAATTAAAGTGAACTTTCTTTTTCAAATTTCACACTAACGTTGGGTTATCTTAACCCACCTTTGAACAACCCAGCCCTGGGCCCGGTTGTTCAAAAGAGAGTTAAGTCTAAACCCAGGGTTAAATCGGCCTAACCCTGGGTTAAATTTTAAGCGGAGTTTAGTTGCGTTGTTCAACGGCAGGTTAACACTAACCTCGGGTTAAACCATGGGTTAAATTTAACCCACCGTGCGAGCAGGGTTAAATTGTTAACCTCCGGTTAAATCAGGAATAAAAATTAAAATGGCAGAGTTGTTGATTTGCGATTTACGCAGAAGGCGATGACGAGAAAGGAGATTTAGAGCCGAACTCTGTGTGAAATCGACGATTTCACAGACGAAGAGCTGCTTGTTCGTTACCGCTTTCGACGAGAGTCTATTTTATTTATTACCAATCTTGTTGCCGGTGATATCAGTCGCAACACCCGACGGAATCACGCCTTACCGCCGCTCCATCAAGTTTTGATTGCTTTCAGGTTTTACGCCAGTGGAAGTTTCCTACAAGTTATAGGCGAACTTCGGCTGTTGTCGGCATTGCCGCACCAACAGCGTTTACAGCATCGGCGATATTTTTCCACATTTGATTTTTTTCTGATTGGTGACGCTGTTGGTAAACTTGCTTTAAGCTAAAGGTTTTCTTCGACTTTTTCTGTCAAAAAGGCAATTTCTGAAGCGCTAAAATTTTGTTTTCGAGTTTTGTGTGAGATAGCTAAGGAAGCCATTTTGCAGAGCTCGCAACTTGCTCACCATGGCAACATTGTACGAATAGTTTATTATGGAATGCTAACCGTGGGTTAAACGCGCTTAACCAGAGGTTAGCTAACCTGTCCTCTAACCGCGCCTCGAACAACGCAATTTTAACAGCGAGTTAACAAACTCACGGTTAGGAAATTTAACCTCCGGTTAGACTTAACCAGAGGTTAGTTTAACCTGTCTTTTGAACAACTGCGCCCTGGTGGATAGCGCGGTACGTTTTGCTCACACTAATCTGGTGAATAGCGATTTAACCCTTGGATGACAGAGCTGAATAACGTATACGCATGCGCCAGGTTTTGCCGCGGAAACACGGATTTTGAGTCGTTCGCATGGTTGATCTCCTATTCTGTTGCTTCGAGGCGTCGTTTTCCAAGCCGCTTTTCTTTTACAGAACAACCTCCAAAAATTTGGTACACCCCCTAAAAATTTTCACAAATTAATTTTCTCTATTAAACTTTTGGAAATAGGAAAGTGCCTTCGACGAAAACAGAGTTCCTCGGTTTTAAAGGCCAGCCCTTATTATTTTCCGCAAATTTCGCTAAAGTTTAGACCTAGGACACTTGAGCCCGCGTTGTTGACCGCATACCCGCTGACGTAGCATTTAATTATTCAGCTCTGTCCTCTTGGATAGTTTTATCAACTCTTTGAACAACTGGTCTCAGCGGTATATCCTCAGTTTTAATTTCCGTTACCGTGCAATGCGGATTGTGCAAAAGATGAAGGAGTCTAAGAACATGAAGGAGTCTAAGACATGTAAGGAATCCGGCTTAAATTCAGTACCTTCTAAAACTGTATATTTACATTCAAACTAAGAAAAATGCCACAGGCATGAGAAATCAAATTTACATGTTACAATTTACTTTTTATATCAACGAGAAACGGACATTGTTAAGGCGTACTGACCTAGAACAGGTTTATAACGTTTGTTTTGTTTTCACAAGGAATGAGCAAATTGGCCATAAAGAGGAAGATGTTCTTCAGTTTCTCAAGGAGATTGTCGATAAAGAGGATTTGGAGGTAAGATCATTAAGTTATGGAATGGCTGCGTGCGGGTGGTACTGAATATTGGGTTACTTGAAAGTTACAGCATGGTAAATAAAGAAATCACACAGTAAAGTGTCATTATTTTGCGAAAAATGATACAAACCCAATAAAAGCTTTCCCTTTATTCTATTTGTTTTACCCCAACATACCTTTAAAGACCTAGATCATGATATCTTTGTGAAGTAAAATCGTTGTTTTTCTAATCGATGTATTTTAAATTACGGTTTTTTATCGATTTTTATGACCTTGAGAATTCAACAGTCTTGTGACCCTTCACGCGCTGATCCTAAGTTCGATACAAGTGGGCGTGTTTGAAATAAAGCGTCGTGGTAACTGAGATCTTAAGACACAATCCTCTTTGAACCGATATATCCACATCAGCAACCGTACTATGTTTTTTTAGTGAACAAATGTACTTGAACAAGAGATTAGGTAAAGCTGTTCTATCAAGGATACTCAACTCTGTAAATCACTTCCGTTCCTTCTGCCTTGTGCCCAATTAACCATTTTATTCCCAAGATCTAATTATGAATTCTCCCCTCTAACTGCTAAACATTTCCTTGTAAATAAATGATGACATTTTGGTGTTAGATCAAGATAACAACTTCTACTTGATAAGTTTGAGTATTCTCATGACCTGTTTGCTGGATAATATATAGATATTATAGGGAGAAGTTACATGTTTATCACTCTCGGGAGTTAAAGAGTTAATTAAGGGGATAGGCTCAGGTTGAAGCTCCATTTATACTTCGAAGAACTGATTTGAGAAAGAAACTTGGATGGACAAGAAATTCCTTCCGTCAAGCAGACCATCCAAGAATTGACTGCTTAGTCGATTTTTCTAGAGCCTTTTAAAAGTGTAGGGTGAAACCTCCCGCTGGCAGGGTGTACTCAGTTTTACCCCTGACAGCCACTAATGTGTAAAACTGGAACAATACTGTCGTTACAACACTGAAAGGCTGATGCAGAGTGAAACATCAAGTTAGAAAATCAAAGTCATAGGGTGTGCTTAAAGAGTAAGAATTCAATAGAAGATATTTCAGCAAATTGATGGCCAGAAATTCTACTGTTCTGCTCTATAAGAACCTTTTCCTGAAAAAAAAAAAACATCCTCAGGCTTAAACACGAGCAGAAAGGCTATAGCATGGCAACAATCCAAGGAATTAAAAACATGACCTTTTCTCAGCCTTTTAATTTTATGTTACACTCCAGGTAATTATTGCTGTGTACGGAGGCGAGACAAGTTTCAAGTGGCAAGAGTTTCTAAAGGATCTCCAGGTAAATATGATTTCATTTTCCCTCATTTTGAATTCACTCACAGAGGAACGCAAGCCTTTTTTTTTAATGTTATCCAAACGTATCGTAAAACATACCAAAAAAAATCATCCAGAGAATGTCTCACATTGAGTTAGAAAATGCTGTCTTTCTTATCTAGCAGAATATGAAAGACTGTCATAAGAAAGGAAGACCAACTTCACGACGAAACAAGGTTTCTCCACAGTCAAATGGATTTACCATTGATATTCCAGAAGAAAAGATACAGAAGACCCAAAAAGGGAGTCTTTCCTTCCGCCAAAGTCGCAGGCGATTTACTGTTTCTTACGAGACACTGGTTTGGATTGTTTTTCTGGTGTCAACAGCCCTGTGCGTGATTGATCGCTTTGTACTTAAAGGGGATATGGTTTTAGGAAGAAGTGGAAAGCTCCCTAAGCGGCTTTGGGGAAATCACCTGGGAGAGACTGCTACTAATGTAGTGTGGGCCATCACTGCGCGAATGATCATCACTTCTCAAAACTTAATGTTCTACACGATGATGTGTTGCCTCCCAAACTTCATCTGCGAGACGGCTCCAAACTGGATCACAATAGACGGAATCCGCAATGTTCACTCAAGAATTCATGCATTTGCTGGAATTTTCCTTTTGGCGATACCTTCCGTTGCTCATGTTCTTCTAATTTTTGTTCCGCCCCTTATTGATGGCACTCAACTTCTGTATTATCCACCGAGTACCTTCAACTACAGCAAATACCCTGATCACTTAAACTGGACGAAGTTCTGGGATCCTGCAGCACTTCAAGGCTGGACCTTCAATGATCATAAGGGGGTTCATTTAACGTCGGACGAGATTTATCGATTCATGCTCGTTATCGTCATATTCTGCTTAATTGTCCCTTTGAGCAGATCCAATTATGCGAATAAACGAAGCTACTCGTTAGCGATGGCCCTACACGTTTTTGCAGGGATCTGGTACGCCATTGACAACATCCGAAAGATCACTCATGGTCTGTCGCAAGTCGCTAATCTTCCCATTTTGGTTCTCTGGTGCATCGACAAAATTCTCTCCATTTTGTACTATCGGCGCAACTGTGGCCACGTTGTGAGAAAGGAAGTCGTTGGAGACAATGAATACGTGATTATGTACGTGAAACTGGACAGCAACGTTAAGCATGCTGTCGGCGATGTTTATTATCTTCTACACAAAGGAGAAAACACTGGAATGCTACCACAGCGGTCCCATCCCTTTACAACCTTTGCCAATATGTCACAAGATTCAACTTGGGACATTGGTTTTGTGATATCGATAATGGAGGATGAGGAGCAAATGTGTCTCCCTTGGACAAAGTGGCTTGCTACCAACGACGAAGCCATCACCTTCCACACATGGGGACCTTATCGCTCATCGGTTTGGAAGCTTTATGACGAGCTAACCAATGTAACAAATGGAGGTTCGCCTTCGCATTTAGTTTTGTTCGCCACTGGATCTGGCTGCGGCTACATTTTAGATGTCCTCAGTTGTTTGGCCAACAAATATGAACCATTACAGCATAAAAGCCAAACTTGTAAACAGACCAAAATCGACATTTTCTACTCAGTCAGGTGTAAGGAATTCTATGAATTCCTGCGGAGACCCATCGAAGACCTCCTACGGAAGATCAAAGAAAAGGACGTAGCCACTATAACGTTTACATTTTATGTCACTGGTTCAGATGTAAGAGATGTCGCAGACGACACAACAGAATCGCCAATTCAACTCATTCAGGGTCGAATTAACTTTGAAAAAGCTCTGAAGGTTGCTAATAAGAAATCATGTTGTTACTTTATTGGAAGGCCTGTGATTGCCAAGGAGGTTGTCGAAATATGCCAAAGGAAAGGAATCCGTCTTGTTAAAGATTTCACGAATGGCCGTGGAAGCCAAGAGGACCGTCGTTTACTTATGAAATACCTTAAGAGAAGCTTTTGGGTAATATTTGTAATAACTGCCGTTTGCGTTGCCATAAGTCTTGTGATTGATGTCAAATCAATCAAAAACTCTCTGGAAATCTTATCAACAAACAGGACAAAATAATTCATCCGCGTATTAGTTTAGTCTTACAAACCAGTTATATCGTTAGTTTTTCACCCTCAAGCTCCCTCAAAAGGGACGGGTCATTTATCAAAATTTCAAAACTTGCCCTTTTCAATAAGGTCCGTTGTCAAAAAGAATCGTGAGGTTGGCGTCAACTGTGGAACTTGTTTCAGCTCAACCTATTCCCCAAATACACAGGCATCCCCTAGAAAAACCTTCGTCATTTAAATGTCTTTTTTTTCTTGTGGTTATATTTGGAGCAGTTCCCATTCTGTTATATTATTTTTTGTCAGGCTCAATCAAAATGCACCCCGCGAGAGTATTAAAAGTATTTGCATAATACTTCTTTCGCGCGATCTCTAGTTGCCGGGGACACTTGTTACTGCCCACTTCTCTTACAAGGAGGTCCTCTTTTAGAAAGCGTCATATAAATGAATACTAAAAGAATTAAATTTAGCAAACATTTTCGAGAACGACGAGATCCACCAGCTCCTCTCGCTATTGTGGAGCGTAAAACCAAGCTCAAGCTGCTTGGCGTTACATTTGAGGATGACCCTGTGAACTGGGACTCACATATTGATCACGAGCTTGGTAAGGCCAGCAGTCGTATGTATATTTTAAGAGTTTGTAGATTTTATGGCTACCCTAAGGAGCAATTAGATCTGCTCTTCCAAGGCCTAATTATTTCAGTCTTCCCATACGCTATCGAGGTGTGGGGTTGCTGTTTTTATGATAAATATCTTAAGAGAATAGACAAACTGTTTGCTAGGGCTTTTAAGTCTGGATATTGTTTGAAGAAATATAGTATTTGTGATATTTTAGCCACCAGAGATAGCAAACTATGGATCAAGATCACTTCAAATATCCCTGCACTTGATGATCTTTTACCGCCGAGACGTACTAGGCAATTATGCAGCAGGGGCCATGATTATATATTACCTAGAGTTCGTATTTCACGTTTTAAATCCACTTTTGTAAATAGATGAATTTTTAGCATTGTCTGCCATTAATAGTTAGTTTATTTTCTATCTTAATCTGTTTTATTTTTCATTCTTTGTAAATAATAACACGGTTGATGCATTATTGCTTTTGACGAAGACCATTATTATTATTATTATTATTATTATTATTATTATTATTATTATTATTATTATTACTAATCCGACTAGATCACGGAGGGTCGTGGGTTAAAATCCCATCTGGAAACTCGATTTTTAAAAAATTATTACTATTATTATCTCTTTATTTATTTAATTATAATAGAAAACCAGATAAACGGCAATATCTCTTCATCAGAGTAAATCAGTTTTTGCCAAAGGTTACATGATAGCAAAGATGAATTATGTCACTGATGTA